CACTCCTCGGGGCCCCAAAGCCCCTCCCCCAAAAAAAAAAAAAAAAAAAAAAACGCTGCAGCCCAAGGAGAGAGAGCAGCAGCACCGCAACCCCAAATCCAGCGCGAAACAAAAATGAAGGGGCTTTTTCAGGCTATAAAAGTGCCATAAACTTTAAGGACGCTTCCTTCCACAGAAAGCCCAGCTCGCTCAGCCCCCAGAAGAAAAGGTCTCCTTCAGGGCAATTAAACTATAAAGCAATTTACAAGTGCAAAAGTTTACCCCCATAAAGCAGTAAAACACAGGCAGCGGGGAAGAAAAAGGGGGCAAGAGAGCGAGCGGGCAAGACAGACAGACAGACAGACAGACAGACGGACGGACAGACGGACGGACGGACAGACAGAGAGCGGGGCTGCTCGATGGGCTCGAAGGAAATGCCTCCTCGCTGTCCTTCCCATCTCGCCTCACCTTGCGGTCGCATCCAGGGGAAGAGCTGGGTGGGCTCCCCGCCGCTTCCCCCTCCCTCGCGTGGCCCGCCGGCCGCCAGCTTGCAGTCCGTGTACTGCACCAGCTCCGAGTCCTGGGCGGCGAAGAGGCTCTGCCTTTGCAAGGGCTCGTAGCCGTAGAAGTTGCCGGGGTCGCCATGGCACGCCACGGCGCAGGGATTCTGTTGGTAAGGGGAGCTGGAGAGCGAGGAGGCGCCGTGGTAAAACTCCTGGATTTGGGGGGGGTGCTGGAAGGTGCCCCCCGCGCTGGGTCCGTACACCACCGTGGGTCTGCCCCCGAGCTCCTGGGCGAACCCGCAGTCATAGTAGTTGGGACGCAAGGAGTCCCCGGTTTTGTATTTGGAGAAGAGTGAGTTGACGAAGTAAGAGCTCATTTTAATTTAAATAATAATATTTGGTTTTGGAGAAGAGGAAAAAAAAAAGCCAAGCAAAGCAGACCGCGGGAATCTATTAGCAAAAAAAGAAAGCGCTAAGATGCTAAGCAACGACAGTTTGTGATTTCCAGGAATATAAAAGGAGGATATAATCAAAACTCTAAGCCTGCATGGTATTGAATTCTTTCCTCCCCCCCACCCCTAAAAAAAAAAAAATCGCCACTTAAAGAGTTCTCGCTTTACATTTCCAAGAAGAGATGCCAGTTCATAAACAGTTTTCAGTGATTTACTTCAGCGCAAATGAGTTGTTTCATATTTTGCAGTGTCTTTTCATGATCATTTGCATCTATTACCAAAACCTCATCCTATTGGCTTCTCCTTACTCCACACGGACTCTGCACTGCATGATTGTGAAAGGAAGAGTGTGAGAGAATAAAGAAGGAAAAGCAAGCGAGGGGGAGAGAGAGAGAGAGGGAGCGAGAGAGAGAGAGAGAGGGAGCGAGAGAGAGAGGGAGAAGGAGGTGGGGTGAATATACGGATTAAATATGTTTAACTACCTACATTAATGAGATATCTCTCGCCTCACAACAAATCACATACCTAGACCACCCAAAAGATTGATTTTTTGGGAGTGTTGGAAAATTAAAGAGAAGCGCTCTCAGTCGTTAATTTCAAAATTTTAACGAGGCAGTTTTAGCCTTTTTAAATGTCAGGGTCGCTTTGCAAAACTGTAAAAGAACACGATTTAATTGCTACCAGTTTTAAAAGGTCCTATAAATGTAATTGGTATTTTAATACAAGTTATCAAATCATACAGCTTCTTACCCTAAACATATTTTAAAACAAACGAGGTAGTCATATTTAACATTTTAATGATCAATTTCCTTATTATTGATAAAGGTTTAACTATCACATGAAGGGAATTGCATTTGTAATAGCCCCAAAAAAGGCTGTAAACTGTTTAACAAACTATAAAATGCCATAAAGCCGGGGATGTTGTTGTTGTTTATACCGCACTACATAAAAGCCGTTAGGATTTTACGAGTTCGTTCCTCTACTGCTATAAAACAGAGGTTTCGATTGGACCCGTCCGCATTATAGCGAGATGTTGAGGTGTCAATATTGAATTAAAATGATTATAGTTTTTCATATATAACATTGACTTTTCGTGTCTCTCTCCCAGCCCCCTCGCTCCCTCCTCCCCCAGCCCTGCTCACGTCGAGGACTTGCTGAAGATGTGTTTGGGGATGATTGCAAACTAAAAGTATTGTTTCGCTTATCACCTCCCGAGCAGAACCTTTATGGTCAGTAACTGATGGCTGCTTCCCTACCTCACCCCAGCCTCAATAACTTTAATTTTTTTTTTTTTGCATGATACTTATAATGAAAAGTAGGGAGAAGAGGGGGGTGGAGTAAGGGAAATAAGAGAGAGGCTTTCTATTTTATTGGCATTTGGTAACAACGGAGCAAACTTACCCCTAAGATGCCAACGCTGCAATTTTGCACAATCTGAACACACAGGGGGTAGATTTTGAAATTCATTTATCGCAGTCAGCAAATATTACTGAGACATATTTCAGATAATAACGACCCCAAACCCTCCCAACTTAAACGCTGCCTCAATGTGCCTAACACCCCCTGCGCCCCTCCGGAGCCCTCGCAATGCCAGCTCTATTTCCCAGTCCTTCAAGGTTCATCAGAAGTTAAAGACACTTCTAAACCTCTATTTTGTTCTCTCTCTGCTCTGAGTAGATTTCTGCTGCTTTCCTTTGCATCCATCTCTACGCTATTGATACAAGAAAAGTGAATAAAAGAGGATTTTACTCGTTCCTGCCTTGAACTAAGGGACAATTCTCAAACATCCACTTCTGCAACATGGAAAAGAGGGAAAAGTTTATAGTCAGTCAGTCCTTCTACGGCCTCATTAAAAAATACTTACATTAAAATTGACAGTGAGAATAGGAGTGGAATTAAAGAAAGAAAGAAAAAGAAAGACAGAGAAAAGAAAGCTGAAAAAATAGTAACAGAATAAAACTTTAAAACCATCCTTAGAGAAATAATTTAAGTAAATACGTTTCTTTTATCTTGTGTAGGGATAATTTGAGTCTAGTCTAAAAGCCTTTTCAAGTAATTATTGTTGTTGGAATACTTGCAGTGGTATAATTAAGACATTTCCCCCCCTAAAAGACAAGTTAACATTTTATTTTTCCCAACACTTTTATTGTCGATTGAGCAGATTTTGGTTTCATCTTCGCACATAAAAACCTAGAAATGGTGCACAGAAGTAAATAGAGCTAAACAGCATGGTATTAAGATATCCGATACTAAAATTTTCAACAAAGCAAAAACCTGAATTGACTAAAGTGTTTTCAGAAAATAACTTATGTTCATATATGTGTATTTACATACGTACTTACATCTATTGAAGTATTTAAAATAAAACATTTCCTTTCATATGTGCAATTTCCTTTCATATGTGAACATCGAGAAGGCGTGAGTTAAGTTGTTCTTGGAAGTTAACATTTTTATCAAGTGCAGTAGAATTTTATGGTCATGATGTGATGGTAACTCACCAATGCACCAGAAATCAATGGCTGATCTTAAATCATTCATATACTGTACTCGGATTCCTGATGAAAGGAAAATGTTTCTATTATAAGAAAAAACAAGTGCGTGTGTGTGTGTGCGTGCGTGTGTGTCTGTGAGAGGGAAGATAATTTATAAATACCCGGTGGGGGAAAGATTTATTAGGAATTCACAAGATTAAAAAAAAAAAAATCCAAACCCCTTATTAGGTAAACCCTAACTTTTCACTGCTCTGCATGTTGCTGAATGCAGAAGGGCAGTATTTCTCGTATTTTTTTTAATCACTTTGTGTTTCTCTTCGTATTTAATGTTATAGTAGTTAAATAGAGTCTTGAGATGTTTAAACTTTGCCTCCTCAAACAACATATTAAATAACATTGACAACGATTCCTTTTTTTGTTTGCAGTATCCGTTTAATTTGTTACATTCTTCTGAAGAATACTGCTTATTGGGAAGTGGACATATTTTCTTGTATAAGTTAGGCGCAGCATTTATTCAGAAAATGTTTGGCCATAACAATATGAAATAAAGTCTATGTTAAAATTATATTCATCATTTTTCTATATTTTTTGTAGCCGAATATAAGGACTGAAACGTCTGAATAGTTATTGTCTTGGAATTTTTAAGCAAAAAGGGCCAAAAAAGTGAATTAATGGAGTTAAAAGGTTATGTTGTTGCTGTTCCTGCATCAATGGAATATTTATATGTATCACAAATCGTGGTAAATTTATAGTATTTTGGACTAATTTTCTGTTTTGTAGCCTTTACAAAATATTTTTAAATGTAATTTGCGAAGACGTTGGCCAAGAAGCAGCAGTATTACCAAAAGACAGAGCAAATATACCCCAAACGATCGCCTCAACTTCCAAAAAGCATAGACTATTTTTCAGCGGTGGCTATGAAAATAAAAGATATAAAACAAGTAACCGAGAAGGCGCAGATCATCCTAACGGCTTAGATAAAGAGCCAGAGAGGAAAGTCTTGATTTTGTGCATGCTTCTTTCTCCCCGAAATCTTTGACCCACTCTTTTTCAGTCCTGCAAGCGTAAATCTTCGGCGTGGGGATAATTAAGCTGTCCTCCCACCTCAATCCGAACTAGCAGAAGACAAAACCGAGGCTTTCTCTTCCCTTTAAATGAACATTTAAAATCGATGCTTGTCCCACCTCTCGTCGCATCCCAGCTCAGAGCCTCCTTTTTTTTTTTTTGTTTTTGGAACCTCGCATAATTTCCCCTCGCAGGGAGAGGGAGAAAAAAAAAAGATGTAACCTATAAAATCGGCAAAATAGCTATAATTAACCCTATATTTTATGCCAGGGGATGATCGCGGGGCTGCGCGGGGGCCGCCGCGGTGAGGGGGCAGCTGGGGCCTAAAGCAAAAGTAAAGAAATAAATAAGGCAAAAGCTGGGAGCGAAGCAGCGAAAGAAAAAGGAGAAAGAAAAGAAAGAAAGAGGCAAATCGACTTCCTCCTATTCATCGCCCGGCTCTAAAGTTTTACGCGGAGAAAGCCCCACCATCCAGCCGGTTTACTAGCAATAAAAGAGGCAAAATGGGGTTGCTTTTGAAAACCACTATTGTTTCAAATTCCGAGACTAAACAATTGGTCATTCTGCTCTGGAGGGGGGAGGCCAGAGCTGTAAACCGATAAAGAGCTTCCCAAGCCCAGACGTCTCGCCAGAACTTCGAGTGTGTGAGCGTGGGG